AAATATATTTTTTTATCAATGTATGAAAAAAAAATTTTTTATATTGAAATTAAGAAATTTGTAATATTGTAGTTTTTTCATTTAATGAGATTTGAAATTGAAAATGTGTATTTATAATCTATAGACAATCGCATATTAATGCTTTGAATTATTATTTTTTGTATAAATAAAGAATATTAAAAATATTACTATTTTAATATTTTTATTTAAATATTTTATTATTGTATAATAGTTAAATATTTTATTTTATTTATAGCTTTAAAAATAGAATGTAATTTTCTTATTTTACATCCAAATATATATATATATATATACCATTTCTCTTGTACTTAAAATCTATTATTGATTTTTATTTTGTATTTTGTTTTTATATTTTTTAATAATATTTTATATCATTGTGTAATTCTTATATAGTTATAAAAATATTTGGAAACTAATAATGCTTAACTTCAACAATCTATCTTTATTAATTATAGAAAAATTTCAAAAAATTCATTCTTATTTCTTTCGATAGATATTTATTGTTTGTATTTTATATTTGTACTTTATGAATATTTTATAAAATTTATTAATATAATAAAATGATATTAAAAATTAATATTACAATTATTTTATGTGTTATATTCGAATTGTAAAAATTTATAATAAAATAAAAATAGAAATTTAAAAAAAAAAATTAAATATTAATTTTGATATTTTTTTTTCTCTTTTATAATAACTTAAAATATAAGAATATTAATTACATTAATTATTATCTTTAGAATATATATTTAATAGAATATATATTAATAAAAAAATTTATAGAATATAAAATATTTTATAGAATATATTATTAATAAAAAATTTTTATATCTTTTTATATTATATCTTATATATATATGAGAATCAAAATGTACTTAAAAATCAAAAAAATATCAAAATTAATATTCAATTTTTATAAAAAGCTATTATTTTATTTATTTTATTATAAATTTTTAAATATTCGTTCGAATATTTTTATGATAAAAATAATTATAATATGATTTTATTTTATAATATTATATATTATATAATATTATTTATTATATCAATTTAGTTAAATAAGTTATTATAATATTTGTAATTTAATTATTTGTAAAATACAATAAATATTCTATCAAAACAAGTTTGAATTCATTTCTTTTATAATTAACAAAAATATAAGTCGTTAAAATTAAGTATATGTTAAATGTCCAAATATTTTTATGAATAATTGTATATAATATTGTATATAATATTTTTAGTTTCTTTGTATTTTGAGATGATGCTCTGTTTTGAGTGAAAAATATTTACATTTCTTATATCCATTATTTCCAGTAATTTGTTCGCGAAAAGAAAACAAGATAGTGTTTATAGTTGATAACTTCTTCAGTTATTAACTATATTGATTTTTTTTTTTATGCATTTTAAGCTTTGTAGATTTTAAATCGAAATAATGCGAATTTAATACAAATTTGATATGTGATAAGAGAAATTTATGTTAAAATCTTTTTATGAAGCATAGTCTAAAGTAAAATTGAAGGAGATATATATAAACTGTAATTATAATGTATTTAAATACTGCCTTGCTTTTTAGACGAATTATATATCTTCTAAATTATATATCTTATCTTTCTTTTTACTATCATTTTAACTAATTATCAATTATAAATATTTAATTGTATAATATGAACTGTACAATATATTATATTGAATTTGTAAAATAAGATAAAAACATAAGAAAATCAGAATTACATATATTTGTCATAAAATTTGTTATATATTTGCAATTTGTGATCTAAATTAATAAAAAATTAAATGAAAAAATATATATATTTTACAATTTGTGATCTAAATTAATAAAAAATTAAATGAAAAAATTTTGTTATCTTTTATTTATAATAATTATAAATTATAATTTTATTGTTTTATCGTATAAATTTTTTATTTCAAAGCATAAACTATATATTTCTTTGAATATACATATATATAACAAATTCAATATATAATAATAATATATATATGTATATTATATATATATATATTTTTTAATAAGTATATATTTATATAATGTATTATGTATTTATATATTTACAATAAGAAATACGTATTATTTCATTACTTTTTTTTTAATTTTTTTTAAATTTTTATTTGTAGCAATAATTTTATGATAAATTGTATAAATTATTTAACATTAAGTTTAAAATTTTATGTTCAAAGATATGGATAAAGTTTTATATGACATTGATTATTGTTGATTATGAATCAACATGATGGAAAGGGAAGAGGGGAAAGGAATATAAAATATAATATAAAATTAAATTAAATTATATATAATATTAAATTAATTATAATATATTTTATAATATACGAAATATAAAATTTTAATTTGAGAAATTTATTGATTTCCAAAATGAATTAATGAAAAATTTTTAATATAACACATTGAAAACACTATATAGATATTACAATGCTGTCTATTAGTTATTAACAGAATTATATTCTTTGTAATAATCATCATCGCTTAATTAAATCGTCGATGACATTATTCATTGAAAATTTATTTATAATAAAATTATATTTTATATTTATATATTTTATATTAAATTATATATCTCTATTTTGTTTTTATATTATATATTTTATAATCAAATAAAAGAGAAAAAAATTTTTAAAAATATCCAAAAAAGCAAAAATATATTTATTATATTGAATTAATTAAGAAAATTAATCAACATTAAATACTTTTTCTTAAAAAATACGAAAGATAAAAAATATGTTTCAAACGAAATATGTTTCAAAAAGAATAGATCATAATGTTTTTTAGATTTTTTTAGATTTTTTGAAAATTTTGCAAAATTCAATTTTAAATATTTTAACTATATTTTTTACTTTTATATTATATTATTTATATCGAAATGATTTTCAATACATTATCTAAATATATTTTTATTTAGCTATTCTCAAAATATAAAAAATTGATATACCTTGTACTTTTTACAGAAATTGCATGGTTTAAAATATTTATAATAAATGCGTATTCGGATTTAATAATATACTAATTATTAAGTATTTATTATAATATGATTTATTTATAATATGAATATGGAAAATTTTGTATAATTTTATATAAAGTAATATCAAACATTTGGAGGAAACGAAAGAAAAAGAAAATATCCAGAAATGAGTTGTAAAAATGTTGTGTAATGAAAATTTTAATAATTCTAAAAATAAGATTTAATCAAATATATATAAAATAAATTAAAAAATAATCGAATGTAAATTTTATGATTTAATATAGTATAGTTTAATAGAATTTCATAGGATATTGAAAATAAAAAGCATAAAAAAAATAGCAATGCTATCATTTTATCAAATTTTATCATTTTATTATTTAATCATTTATTTTTTATATTTTCAATTGAAGATTTGTATGAAATTATTATTATAATTAAATATATATTATATTATATTATATTATATAATTAAATTATTTCTATAAGCACTTAGAAAATAATCTACAAGTATTTTTCATGTCATTTATCTTTATAGGTGGAATAAACGTCATTAAAAACATTATATAAACATGGCTCTTACAAATATATCTGGTATTCCTGATAAACATTGGCAACCGCCATTTGTAGCATTTGAAACGACGTAAGTATATAATTGTTATTTTTATCTTATTAATTTTTATAATTTTTACAAAATATTATTATTATTTATAAAATAGAATATTTGAAATGTTGGTAAAATCAATTTTTATATTAGATGTTTAGAAAAGTTTGCCATTTTTCAAATAAAGAATTAAAGAAACATTAGCAAGAACTTTTCAGGTATCTAATATTTGTAAACTTTTAATGTTAAAATTTTTTGCTTCTAAATTTTTGTTAAAATGTCAAAATGTTAAATTTTTTTATAAGTTATGACTAATAATTAAAAATAGATGATGTTTTTTATAAATGATTTATTTTGATATTAAATATGTATTATAATTTTTAAATCCGTAATAATTAATGGAAATAAATAAATAATTAAGTAGCAAATATTTACTATTATATTATATATATAAAAGTATTTACTATTTACGTATATATCGGAATTTAATAAATTTTAATTTTCTTTTATAATCATTTTAAATTCTAACTTATCATTTTAACATGAATAGCTGAATACGAATTTGAAAAAAAATCCAATTAAAAAAAAATGCAAATTTTACTTTTATAATAATAATTATTCAATTCTTTTGATACAAAATTATGATTTCAATATGCTAAGATAGGCAAGGTAATTGTTATTATGCATGTTTTAATAAACTATTTTTCTTCTATATTGAAAATAAAAATGATTTTGTAACTTCTTTTTTTTTTTAGTAAAAACTTTTGTTCTATCACATGATATGGTTAAATTTTTTCTTAGATTAGTTTTTAAAATCTTTAAAATATTGATTAATTAAATTGAAAATCAATAAAAGAGAATATATTTTAGGTGTCTATTTTTATTTTTAACTTTGATTATAAAGAACTGCTTATATCATTTTATTTGGAAGAATTTACAAAATTAGTTTGCTCCAAGATTAATACTTTTAAAATTGAAAAATTTTTTTAAATTAATTCTTTCAAAAACAGTAGTATTTGATTATTTCAAAATGATACTGGCTCACAAAAATATTCGAATGTTTGTCATAAAGAACATTATTAATAATAATAAAATATGAAGTTTATGTAGAAAAAATACATTTATCCATCAAAAATCATGGATAAATAATTCAATATAGATATATTATATATGACTTAAATTGATATAGATATTTATCGATATGATATATATATTTATAGATATTTATAATTTTATTTCAATTAATAATTTATTTATCATGAATTTTCATAATTTTAATTTTAATATAATTAATATTACAATAATTTATACATATTACAATAAATTATAATTAATTATAATTAATAAATTTTAATTAATTATAAATAATTTCTTCAATATTTGTGAAACTTAAATGTTTCAATTTATTAGTTGAGGTGTAATGTATATTTGCATATTTTTGTGATATATTATATAACTTAGTATTGTTATATTTATTTAGATTATTATATTTGAAATTTTATATAGTTCAGATATATTTGAATTAGTTTTTAAAAGTATATTTCTTTTTGGAATTTATTCATTATAACTATCAGATATATTTTCGATAAGTAACTAAATGGTAAGTAAATAATATAATTATGGATATTAATGTATGAATATTTAAATAAAATCTGTTAAAACAAACCATTATTTTCTAATCTCTTTATTATAGCTAGCAATATTGTAAATATTTTAATGTATTATATTTTAATATTTAATATATATATATATGTCCATATACTTTTTGATTGAGATAAACAAAATATGCGTAATATGTAAAATAATAATAATATATTAAAATATAGTTTTGCATAAAAATTCAAAATTTATTCATGAGCTATTATATATGAAATTTGAATATTTCTAAGAAATTGTAAAATATTTGCTGAATATGAAGAATACACTGAATATTACTGACATAAATAATCGGACATTAATATTTAATGATCTATATCTTTATTAATTATAGAAAAAATGAATTCAAACTATTTTAATAGAATATAAAATATAGAAATATACTATATAGAAATTTTGATAAAATTATACTTTATATTTATGCAATTTATTTAATTAAATTCATATAAAAAAAGGTATTAAAAATTAAATGAAATCACAATTATTTTTATTTCAATAATATTTTTATCTCAATAATATTTATCTCAAAAATATTCCAATACTTAAAAAATTTATAGTAAGAAGCAATTTTTTTTATAAAAATTAAGAGTTAGTTTTGTCATTTTTTTGGTTTATAATAAATTTGGAGCAGTTAAAGTTTAAAATATCATAAATTATTTTTTATTAATGATGTATGTTTTAAAATAATAATAATATACTTTATATATTTATTTTATTTAAGATAATAATATAATACTTTTATGTTTTAAATCATAGAATTAAAAAATATCAACTTAACTTAATATTTATAAAAAATCGCTATTTCAATCGTATTTTATTATTTTACTACAAATTTTTAAATTGTGTTAAATTGTTAAGATATGGAATATTTTGATATAAAATAGTTGTGATTTAGTTTTTAATATTTAATTGTATCAAGTTAAAAATTTAAATTAAATAAATTGTTTATGTAAGTAAACTACAATAAATAATCCACAACAAAATAATTAACTTTATTTTTTCTATAATTAAGATATGGATTTTTAAAAATAAGCATAGTATCCAAATATTATTGTAACTGTATGCGTTGGATTTCAAAAGTATTCGAACACTTAGAGGTGAATGATGTTTATACTTAGTTAATAAGTTTCTTTAGCAAATATTATGATTAACAAACTTAGTTGATGGTAGGACGTTGTTCAGTGAATTTCAATCATTGTGCGCAATTATTAAAGTGTATAATATCAACAAATCAGAAGTACAAAAGTTGGAAATGGGATTGATAGTAGAATTTAATCAAGAAGAAAAATTTTACAAAAAAATTATTGATTTGGTAAGAGTAAGTTAACGATTCAATATGAAAAAATATAAATAATTTGATAACTATAAAACATGTAAACATAAATACATTTGGAAAAAATCTAAAATTTTCGAATTCTAGCGAAAATTGTTACGATAAACTTATAATAAAGAAATTATACATTAATAAGATTAAGGTGAAATAGATTAAATTTTTCAAAAAATATTTAAAAGTAATACATTTTAAGAATTTAATATTCTTTAATAAAAATAAATATAATATTTTTAATTTTGATGAACATACTTTAATATAAAGAAAATTCAACATATAATATATGGAAATAATTTATAATAAAATAATATTTTAAAATAACATTTATAAATGCAATTTTCAATAAATATATATATCAAATTTATAGACTTTAAGATAGACAGCGAATATTTCAGAAAATAGACTTTATGAAGAAAAAAATGTTTTAAAAAGTCTATAAGATTTAATTGAGTACATTTAATGTATTCAAATCTTTGTCTTATCATTGAATTAAATTCATATATCTTTGGACAATTTAGTTTTTTTAAATAGAAAAGAAAATTTAAAAAATTTTTTCCAAATTTTGATGGAAAGATTTTAATATTTTGACAAAAAATAAATTTTTTGTTTTATAACATATATAACAGTATATAATATATTTAATCGAAAAATTGTATAATAATATATATTAATTCTATTAATTTTATTATTTATTCTTTGAAATAAATTAAATAACTAAATAAATATAAATAATTATAATAAAATAAATAATAAAATATTAATAATATCAAATTTAACGTAAAATTTTCTATAAATTTTATACAAAAATTAGTTTATATTTTAGAATATTAAAGATATTATTAAAAGGGAAAAAATAAATATTGATGTAAAATAGTTTACAAAAATAATAAATAATAATACGCACAATTAAATACTTTTGTATCCCTTCGAACTCATCTTCACAGTTAATGTTTTACAATTGTTATAAATTCATCCAATTTTCTTTAGATTTAAAATTTTTTAGATTTTATATGCATAATTTTGATATCTTTTTTGTATTAATTTGTTATTACTTGAATTAAGTTTTATATATTTTTTAAAATTATATAATTTTTACAATTATTAAGAATTGTTTAAAATTTTAATAACATTCAAATATTCAATATAAATAATTGTACTTATAGAATATTTTTAAAACTTCTGGTTTAATTTAAAAATAATTTAGGTATAAAAATTGTTTGTTTTTAACTAGAAATCAATTATTTAAAAAATTCTTTAAAAAATTTATTCATTAAAATAATATAATAAAATAATATTATAATAACATAATAAAATAATATAATAAAACCTATTATGAATATTTTCACAAAATTTTGCGTTAAAATATATAAGATATACGAAGTAAGATAATTTTTGAACATTTCCTTTTTTTTTACATATTTATATATATTTTATATATATATGAATCAGTCATTTTTGAGTAAATATATATATATACTCATCATATTTATAATTTATTGCATGAACTAATATTATTAGCACATCATTGATTCTAATAAAATTTGATTATATTATTTGTATATTTTTCATGATATAAAATGATTTATATAACTTGTCAAAAAAGTATTAAATTTTTTACTTAAAATTATAATTCATATTTTCATATTATAATCATTTATTACAAATTCAATTATTATAACAGTTTCCTATTTTCTTATTAATTTTTTTATATTAATATATTTCTCTATTATTATTACAGCATGGGTGAAATAGTAATTGAACTCTACTGGAAGCATGTGCCAATTACATGTAGAAATTTTGCTGAACTTACACGACGTGGATATTACAATGGAACGAAGTTTCATAGAGTTATTCGAGATTTTATGATACAAGGTATCATTTTTCTTAAATCATTTTAATCTTAAAAATATAAAATAGCGAAGATAAAAAACTTATAAGAATAAATTAAAATTATTAATAATATTTTACGTATCTGTATTATATTGCAGAAACATATATAGTAGAAAAAATTGACTTTTATTATGTCATTTATTTATTTTTGCTATGATTTTACATTATTGGTGAATTATTAACTTTTATTGAAAAATTTATTATTTAAGTAAATATTTTTTTTTTGGAATTTAAAATTTTTATATTTTGCATGCTTTGTGTAAGTGTTGAATATTTTAAAGTTTGTTTATTAAATTGTAATAATATTTTTTTATTAATAATTTAAAAAAGATATTCAAATCAAAGTGAGTATTTGAAGTTGGTTAATTAACATTCGATGGTATATTTTCTTATAATTGAAATTTTATATTTAATTATTTTATTATCATTTTATATATTATATATTATATATTTATACATACATTTATTATTTTATTATATTAATTATTTTATATTATTTTTATTATTTTAAGTTTTTATTACTTTTATAAATTATTGTTTATTGTCAGCAAAAAATTTTTATATTCTAACTTATTAGTTATATTATAAGTTATGTTTAATTAGTTAAAAAATCTTTAATTTATTATTAAAATTAGATAATTAAAATTTATAAAAATTAGATAATTAATATTTTATCAATACGATTTTGACATTGTATTATTTTATTATCACTAAAATAAATTATTAATAATATTTTTTTTAATTTATTACAATTAATCATAATTTTGAGGTTAATATGGAAGATGTTAGAAAAACATTAAAATTATAATTAAATTAATTGTTACTAGATCATTTTTAATTATCACTAATCAGATAATTGAACATATAATTTATTAAAAATTAAAAATTGAAAAATTGATCTTCAGGTCTGATCTTTTTTATTATAATATTAGAAAATTTGAAAGAAATATGACTTTTTACTATATAAACACATTTTCTCTGATATAATTGTAAAGATAGCATAGTTTTGTTTTTATATATATTCATTATTTATATCGTATCAGTCGTAAATTCATGTCTATAAATCAAATCATGTATATATACATATAGTATGAAGTATTTTACACCATTGATATGACTAATAGAATATAAAAACTAAATATGAAACATAATAACAACGTATTTTAATATAATCTAAATATATTGTATATATACAATATAATGTAATAATAAATAATCTTTTATTATATCTCTTATTACAGTGTAAAAATTAAAAATTTAAAATATATTTAATTTAATATATTTTTTTTAATTTAAATATATTTATTTACTTTATTTTAGGTGGTGATCCTACTGGAACTGGAAAAGGTGGTGTATCTATTTATGGAGAATGTTTTGATGATGAAATTCATGATGACTTAAAACATACTGGTAATGTTTAATTATAAATTATCTGATTATATTATACTAACATATAATTTAATACACATAATAGCTCATAAAAGTATTCAAAAATTTTATAGAAAAATATATCGAAAGTCTTAATCTTAATAAAAATTTATCTATAAAATAGATTATATATACGTATTACGTATATGTATATAGATTATACGTATGTGTAATAATTTATTTTTTTGAGAAAAAAATATATTTCATCCTCTCTAAAAGGATGAAATATATCCTCAAAATTTTAACATTTTTTATTTTTTATGAATATAATTTCTCCTAAAAATATTTTTTATAATAGGCAAATATATATAAGAATTTAAAATATACATACATTATATAAAATTTGAAAGTTTTATAGTTTTATTTCATATATTATAAAGTTATATTTTACAAAACAAAAAGAAAAAATTGAAATTAAGAATCTATTTCATTGTTTTAGATTAAAAATTCTCTAGAAAATTCACATATACATATATGCATAGAAATAGAATTCTCCGAATAAGAATAACGCGATCAACAATACAGCTCGCGATTTTTATAAATCTTCTATTCGTAATTTCAAATCGTAAATCATGAATAATCCATAATTCGTAATCATAATCATGCAATTTTTCAGCTTTTAGCAACAAGTGTTTTATACTTTTAAAATAATAATTATTCAATTGTTCTTTACATTGCGAATCCAAGATGACGAATCCATTATCATTGAGTATCACAGAGTATCAGAGCGTATTTTAACAAATTATCTAAATTAAAACTAAAAATAATTTTATAGCTTTATTAAAAAGATCTGCTCTATTATATGTGATTAGATTTTTTCTTAGATCTTTAATATTTTATATAAATTAAAAGATATCAACAAAAATAAATATTCTGTTTATTTTAATCATTATTTAAACATATATATTTATAACTTAATAACTTTTTGTATCATTTTATTTGAAAAAGTTCACAGAATCATTTTGCCAAGAGTAATCGAATAACTATTAATATAGTAACAAACAAAATATTTTGAAAAATTTTAATTTTTCAAAAAATTAATTTTTTGATTTAATTTTTGATAATTTTTGACAATAATTGTGAATTTTGAGAAAAATTATTTGCAAATTCATATTAATGAAATAATTAAAATTATATTATCATATTAAGATAATATATAATATAATAATATAATAATACAAGAAGCAGGCGCTAACGATTTTCCAAGTACATAAATTTCATGATTAGATTTGTATATTTATATAAAATATATATTATAAATTTTAAATGAATTTTGCAAAAAAATCAATAGATGTTTATTAAGTTTTTTTTATGAAAAATCAAGATGTTAGAATAAAATATGTTGATATTTAAGTAAAATAATAATATTTATCTGATTATGTTATTTGAAGATTAAAATACAATTATGAGAATATATTACAAACTGATTCTTCTATGAATAAAATTCTATTAAAAATTTTGTCTTGATTTTCGAAAAACTATATCTTTTCATTTTATTAATTTTTTACTTGAAAAAATAATTAAATTTTTGAAAAATTTTTCTTTTATCATCAATGAGTTAAAAATAGAATAATTTTAAATTTCAAAATTTAAATAAATTTTAAATCTCAGTAAAAAAGAATGCTATGAAAAATGCTATCAAATTCTATTTTAGAAAGATAGTTATATAATGTAGTTAGCAAAAATATTGAAAAAAATTATTTTTTTGGAATATTCTTGTAAATATGTAAATATAATAGAAATCGATATTTTTTGCCCTAAATTTTTATATTTATTTTTTTATCTTCTAAACTTAATATAATAAGCAATTTTTGCGGCTAGATTTAGGTTCATAAAAATATCACGAAAATACAGAAATCATTGCATTCTCAAATGAAAAAAAATCTTTTTATATATGTGCTACCATTCTATTACACATAAACTGAATTTAGAAATTTAGAAATTTTTATAAATAAAAATATATTGCTTGTATATTGATCTTCTATTATTATTAAAAAAAGAATATTTTATATTTTATATTATACTAATAATATAAAATAAAATATAAAATTTTTTTTATCATTTTAATATTTTCAATATGTTTATAATAGTTTTCTCATTTTTTTTTTAAAATTTTTCTTAAATGGATTGTGAGATTAATCGCTTCTTTAATTCATGAAGTGATATATAACATAAAATGATGGACATAAAATAGACATATTATTTTTTTATTTCGATTTAAAAAAATTCCATTAGATTGCAAATATATAAGAATCTTAATAAAATTCACGTGATTTCAAAATTTGATTTATATGATATATATGATACTTTGATTATTGATATATGATACTTTTTTTTTATTTGGCTTATATTGCTTTATTATGTTGCTTAATTAATTAATTCTTATTTTTTCATACTATTTGCATATATTATATTATATTATTCTATAAAGATCTTTTATATCTATTTTCATTGGTATCAATGGTTCATGGATTATTCAGCTACTTATAATTAATTTGCTTATTAATTATTTTAATTATTATGCTTATTTATAATTAATTTGTAATATAATAATGTATTTGCAAAAAATTTAAAAATATAAATATTGAAGAAAATAAAGGAAAAAAAAGCTTAGATTAATTTATAAAAATATGATATATGATTATTTAATGCTTAATATATTAGTGCATGATTATACAAGATTGCTGAGGAAATGTGATATCATTTTTTGGTAAATGTAAATGAATTAACATTATTTATAAAACAAAATAATTTTAAAAACATCTCTTCATATCCAAATATATGTAATATATCATAAAATATTAAAAAATATTTCTTTATTGTTGGAATCTAATATTAAATAGATGAACTAATTCTCTGGTGTATTTCTTATACAAGTGACTAATTTTTACTTTTTGATAATTATTATAATGTAATATGGAATTAAAAGATATTATATAAATTTTTAACTAAATAATTTATTTTTAATTAAAATAATTTATTTTGTAATAATTTATATTTATTCATTTTTAATAAGATGTTGATAATTTGTTTTTATTTTATGAATCAAAGAAGAAAATACATTTATATTCAACAAAAAAAATCAATACAAAAAATATTGTATATAATTTCATTTATAAATAGTATTATACTTAGCCTGAAACACATTTTACAACATTATAGATCTAGCAATATCTAGTAATATCACAGATATAGTATTGTTCAATAACAGTATTAACCTAATATAATTTGCATACCTTTAATAATATCTTGCTATCTAGAAGTAATATCAATAGGATAAATAATATATTTATTAGTTCACTTTATTGATACCATATATAATCTTATGAAGATCATAAATAATAGAAATATTTACATTTTATGAAATTTGATAAAATTGAAAATTTAAAAAATATGAAATAATATATAAATATACTCAATAAAGTTGAACGTTGAGATAAATTCCAGTGAAATATTTATGAGATGTAAATATATTCAATAATATTAATTGTTGGAATCTATTTTAAAGTAATATAACCCAATTGTATTAACTTTTGTTAATAATTGATCATCGAAGTCACATTAATTTTGAATTACACCCTATTCCTTTATTCCTTAGAATAAAAAATCAAATTTGCAATCTGAGAAACATGCTCGTTCTTATTCTATTATTTTTTATAATAAGAATATTTTATCTTCTCATGAGGAGAAAAAAAAATTCTGTGTACATCCTTTAGTATTATATTTATTGAATTAATGATAGAAAAAATATTTTAATACGGAAAGAAGCATTTTTGATGTTAAGATTATTAAGAAAAAGAATAGCCAATGAAATCAAAATTTTTGATAATCTTAATAAATGATCATTTTGATATTCAGTTTTTATCAAATGGAAATATTGCATTATGTTATAAAAATGTTGAGGCTAAATTACAGAACAATATATTTTCTGTCTATTATAAAAATCAAATGAACGAAATGAAAATTCATGAAAAAAATCAAATCGATGTATCGATGAACGCATATCAATATATATTATTCCAAATCAAATTACAATATAATAATAATTTAATTATCAAAAATATTATTTTGATACAATTTTCATTTTTTTATCAAATAACAATATAAATTAAAAAATAAAAATTTATAAGTTATTAGTACGAATCAAATAAGAAATAGAAATTTATAAATCAAAATTAATTTATTTTTAGGCTTTTATTGACTATAACAGATTCATGGAATCTCGAGAAAATATATATTATTTAAAAAGAAAAGATATGATATTTTCATTTATATTTACACGATTGCAAGTTAAGTTCAGAGAAATTTTATGCTTTATGTGATATAAATTTTAATGATATGAATATAATATAAATATTTGAAAAGAGAAAAAAACCATTTGCAATCATAACAGATATTTTTGTGATAATGACACAACAAATATGGATACACAATTAATAAACTTTTATTAAAGATGCTTATTAATAATAATTGTATTAATAAATCTGGAAAATATAGCATAAAATTAATAATATCATATTGTATAATACGAAAATATTTTATTTGTTTATTTGTGTAATTTGAATGTGAATTTAAAAAAAATTGGATACTTTGTAGAAAAGAATCAAGAATAATTTATCAGATAGTTATCTGATTTCTGGAAACAATTGGAACGATCAATTATAAATGACAATCTCTTTATAAAAATTATCTTAGCAGAAGAATTATTATGAAAAAAAATTTATCTTATTGATACAATATGACAATTTTTCAAAATTACTTGCACATATTCAATGCAGAAATATTTTAAATTTCTATTTATACAAAATCATATTTGTATTATATATTGCTAAATCTAGATAGAATATGTCTTTTTCTTTCCAAATTGTATAATAATCACAATATTTTTGAAAGTTATTATATTTAAAAAAAATTATTGAATCAGAAATTATTTCATTTTATATAATGAAATAAATGTAATAAAAAATACTATAAATATATTA